AATGAATTAAATAACACTTAGCAATTTAATTAACACACTAAAACAATCTGCCACAAAGGAGAGGGTTTAGCAAACGCACCTGGGGGGTTGGCGGCCAGGATACAATCTACCGACGGCCCGCGGGGAGGGGGAATAAAATTAAATCCGGAGGCACCCGGTGCACCTAGGGTGTCTATAGCCAATTTACCTTAGTGAAACCCTAGGAGAGGGTTTCGACCTCACCTACCCAATTTTTAAGAAAATGGGATTTTTCTGACCGGCGTTGACCGGCGTTGACCGGCGGTCCAGCTGCTCCAGCAACTCCAGCAGTCCAGCAGGTCAGTCCAGCGGCCCAACAGCACAGGTCCAGCAGCAGTCCAGCTTCTCCAGTAGACCAGCAGCTCCAGCAGACCCAGTCCAGTTCAGCAACCCAGCAATGTTCAGGCCCAACAACTTGGTTCAGCCCAACAGCTTCTGCGAACAGGGTTTTGTCGGCTTCAGGGCTTCTGCGAAGAAATATTCTTTGTCCTTGCCGGCTTCAGGGCTTCTGCGAACAGGGTTTCGTCGGACGAGCAGTTCCAGCAACGTCGACTCCGGCAGTTGTGGCTGACTCCGGCGCAACTCTCAGACGGCTGCAGATGGCAACGGCGGGGCGGCAGATTTCCTTCTCTGATGGAAATTGCTCTTCAGGCGGAACTGATATACCTCCCAGACGACGAGCGCGCCCTCCCTGAGACGGCAAACTCCAGCGGCGAGCTTTCAGTGGCGAGCGGTCTCCAGCTACGAGCTCCGGAATCGACGAACGGCGAATGGGTTTGGGCGTTTAAAACTCCAGCGAGCCTTCTCAGTGGCGAGCAACCTCCAACCACGAGTAACAGACCTCAAATCGGCGGCGGACGGCGGGACGGCGGCGGTGAACGGCGACAGACGGCGAAACTGGCTCTGATACCACTGTTAGGATCGTATCCGTCTCCGGCTCAGGTCTCCAACCACTCTAGACTAAACTCACACACACCCTCTAGGGCTAGGCCACAACATCTCCCATGTTTACTCACTCTTCTTCACTCCACAAAGGAACTCTCACACAAGGAAAGGAAGAAGGAAGACACTGCTCTCTGGAAGAGGAATTCACGCAGGCTTATCTCAAAGGGGCAAACAAAAGGACTACAAATAGGCTGCCAAGGAAAGTCAGAGGTGAGGCTTATCAACAGGGTGTCACAGGCTGCCAGACAGGAGGTGCAACGGACAACAACAAAAAAAGGGGGCTCACATATTGTAAGTCAACAGGCACCAATGAGTGATTTCAACTAAGGGAATCAAAGTGGGAGTAAACATGGGGTGCAAGCCTTAATAATAAAGTGGAAGGGAGGCCTTGGTAGGACCAATACCTCCAACAGTTGCTGCATCGATTCGTTGGGTGCGATCAATGTCGCTAACGATCGATGGATGTCTCTACCCAGGTAAGTTTCTTCATCTTTTTCTCCTGGTCCTCCCTTAGGAGGAGGAGGAGGAGGAGGAGCTAGCGATCGATGGATGTCTCTACCCAGGTAAGTTTCTTCATCTTTTTCTCCTGGTCCTCCCTTAGGAGGAGGAGGAGGAGGAGGAGTCGCTATCGATCGATGGATGTCTCTACCCAGGTAAGTTTCTTCATCTTTTTCTCCTGGTTCTCCCTTAGGAGGAGGAGGAGGAGGAGGAGGCGGCGGGGGAGGAGGAGGAGGAGGAGGAGTTACCTATGGTCGGCGGCAGAACTGCGATAAGAGGCTATATATAACCGATGGCGCAGCTGCATTCCATGGGAGGTAAGGGATGTGCGGAGCTGTTGCGATGAGTTGAAGTCGGATCGGGAGAAAGTGTTGGTGAAGGAGCAGAGCAGCGATGAAGGGGGTAGAGGGATGAATGGCTGAAGCGAGGAATTGGGATTTAATTAAAGAAGGGTATAATTGTAATCCGGAGTCCTATTTAGGGAATTAGAAACTTAAAGTCCTGTTTTGGAGTAAATTAAAATCCTTGTTTTAGTCTCATTTTGGGCAATTTTTTATTAAAATAATGTACAATTCACTTTCTAATTTATTGTAGTGCACATTTATGTTCACATAATGCATAATTTCTAAATCTGATTTTCTAGATTTATTCTCATATGTCTCCTTAAGTCGTGTTTTCATTTAAACCAAATTCAATATATGTGTGTGGAGTACTCCCTCCGGTCCTAAATGAAATTCACACTTACTATTCATTAGTCAACTTAAATCACTTTTATTGTTTTATTTTATATATCAAATTTAAATTTTCTTGATCAGACTTTGTAGCGGTTTTAATGTAGTTTCTAAATATGTAAATTTTATTTGCTAAAAATAATCCTAGCGTGAACAGTGATCGAGTTGCTTTATCGTCGTAAACCGTGAGTGAATTTCTTTTAGGAACGGAGGGAGTATATAATTGTTTCACTCGTGTTATAAGTTCCTTAACAGATCTGTTGACTAGTTTACATATGAAATGTTGTCCAATGAGATAGTGTCGCATGTTGGGGGTAGTAAAAACATCCAATATATATCTAATGTCTAGATATATAGCTGCAAAATGTATCAAAGATATGTAAAACTCCAAACTTCATTGATTTTATAACGTAGCTATATTTTGTCCTTTTTCAGTTTCCTTTTTTAGTTTAAGGATAATAAAGTAATTGCTTTTTTTTTACTCCAGGGGGTCTGGGGGAGGGACGTTGGGGGTCTAGAGTAATTAGGGCTGAAAGTCACTCCATTGAGTTTCAAACTCTTGTGTGCCTAGCGGGAATCGAACTCGAAACCTTCCACTAAGCACGGTAACCTCGCAACTAGCTGGGCTGGATAATAAAGTGATTGCATAGTAATACATACACATAGTTGTATAATAATTGAAATTTATATATTTCAAAAGCTCCAAAAAAACTAAATGTGACAATGATATACGAAGTACTCCGTACCAAAATATACATTAAAAGAATGACACATTTGAATTGTCCTAGTTTGCCTTTTTTCCCCTCTATTTCACTAATACTTGACCCTCTTTCCATCTTTCTATTTTAGGATGTTCTCTATTAGTTGTCTCTCTTTCCACTTTTGGTAAGTTTTTTGAATAAATATACTCATTTGTCCTCATTCTTTTTCCTGTTTTTTTTTCTCTTTCCTACTTTTACCTTTACACACAACTCACTACACCTTTTATCTCACCTCTATTAATTCTTTCTTAAATGTTGTGTCAAATGCTATACTTCCATCTATTAGAGAACCGAGGGAGTATTATTTTAAATTGTACTCCGTGTTTTGTACTCTAACATTTGATTGTTAGGGGAAGGTAGTAGCTTTTCGAAAGGCATGTCTTATTTGTGCACTTTGTAAATTAAAGTTGTAAGTTGCACGCCAATGAATATTACTCCATCACCCCCACCGACTCGTAGCATGCGGGAGATCGGGGATTATCGATCAGGCCGTTCTATTTGCAAGCACTAGAACCCACAATTTGGAGGCTGTGATTATTTTGATGCCTTTCACAGTACAAAAGTTTCTCCTGACACTACAATTCTACAAAAAAAAATAGGGGATTGACGTGGATTTAGTACGGATTGATCGATGATTTTGTATCAAATAACTCGTGTCAAAATATTTTTGACATGAATTTGACATATTCCAGCCAAATTCTTTATAAATTTTGATAATCTCTATCAAAAATCTTTGTCAATCGCGTGTTCTGATAGTGAAAATGAAATCATAACAAATGATTTGGAATTTGGAAATATATGAAGGGTGGAGAGGTACGGTTCTAGACCGGGTTTCAGTTCTCACATAGGTCAGTCGGTCCATGGTATAACAACCATTCTTGATGTACACACTTTATACACATCATGTTTGTGAAGCTTTTTTTTTTGTCTGTGAATTCAGTTCACAGACAATATTTTGTTTGTGCAAAATATTGTCTGTGAATCGATGTTCACAGACAAAAAAAAAGCTTTCACAGACATAAATGTGTACAAAAGTGTGTATAAAAGTGTGTACGAACATCATTTTTGATGGTATAATATGGCAAGCTACGGAGGTCACCGGTATCAAGATCGGGTACAACCAGTTCAGATTTATCAGCTAGTTTCGAAATGAACGTATGCAGAATTGTGTGAGCGTGGGATGTAAATCGGAATTTGTATTCTACTTTATTAAAAACTCATTCACAATAAAATTAGTGCATATTGTTTATGTACCATCATTTTAGAAGAAAAAAAATACTCTCTCCGTTCCTAAAAATACTTCCCACTTTCCTTTTTGGGTTGTTCCCAAAAATACTTCCCACTTTCCCATTTTGGATAATTTGTGTGACTCACATTCATTTTAACTTTTTCTTACACAACCACAACCATACATTTCCACTTTATTCCACTTTCTTAATAAGCGTGCCAAGTTAAACCGGGAAGAATTTTTAGGAACGGAGGGAGTAACACCGTAACAAATGTACCTTAAAATGCATATATCCTTACAATAGTTACAAAGATGTCACGAATGCAAAAAAAAAGATATGCACTATTCAGTTCTTTAAAGAGAAAAGGGTCAAATAAGGTTTTCTACTATTATGAAATAGTCACGTACTCAAGAAAGTATCATATAAGTACCTTTACTTGTAAAAAGCAATCAAATGAGTCCTAATGACCTATTTAACACATCTTAATCCCGGTTTCAACGTACTTCTGACCATCTTTTTAGAATACATTATACGGCATATGTCGAATATTTAACTAAGATTGGTTGAAATACAAGTCAAAAAAATCGACATGTAAGCTAAAATCGGGATTATGAGGTGTTAAATAAGCCTTTAGGACTCATTTGATTGCTTTATACAAGTAGAGGTACTTATATGACACTTTATTGAGTAGTAGATGGCCTTATGTGACTTTCATAATAGTAGAAGATCTTATTTGACCCTTTTTTCAAAATCTAAATGAAAAAAGAACTCAAAGAACCATACGAACAAAATAATCGGACAGATGCTTCAAAGAAGAATATGTATCGGAGTAATTTGTTATCATATCATATATTAGTACTTATTCAAGAGTCATTATGCATCTCTTTTCTTTTAGAGAATCAAAATATATTGAACACAACATGTTCAGAAAACTGGAACAATTGGAGTTGAGAAATACAGTATTGTTTAAGTTTTCTGTTTTCAGTTGGTTCTTCTAAACTTCTTTTCATCTGAAAGTAGCTTGGCAAAGCGGGTGAGAGCTTCTTCATTGGTGCCTTCCCCTTGAACTGCTTCAAATTTGCCACTATCCAAATTGACTCTGGAAACTGGCTTTTTCAAAAGATCATTACCAATCTGTTCAAGCAAGTCCATGTTTTTCGCAGACGCGTCATCCACCGATGATGTTGTCCCTGTGAGCATATCGTCCTGCCAAAAAAAACCTCAAATACGAGTCATCGAAAAGATATATTAAAATCAGTAACAATGTATAATCCTTTGGTTAGACATTTATTGGCTCTGATTCTCAAAGATCTATACTTTTATATGCTGCTTTGTATCTAGATACTTGGCTGGTATGGGGTGATTTAAGACATGTGCATTGTAATATAATTGAATGATCTTGGCACATAATAAATTTTGCTTTGTTTTAGAGTACCTGAATCCTAAGATAGTTTTTCTCATCGCGGAGAGCTTGAAACATGGTCGAAACATGAATGTCCACCATATCGGCACTAGCAGCCCCATATATATCTATCAATGGAGTGTGACCATTGTTGAACACCCATGCGAGCGAACCCCAAGTAGAAGCCGAGGTGGAAGTATACTTCTCTTCGTTCTTTGCAGTTCCTGTCCCCAATGACAAAACTAACATTCTCTTTGTATCAATTCTTTGCATGTCTTGAAATTGAAAGTTTCCCATCATAATTTCCTTTGAGAGAAGGGTTATGGCCATCATAGTCTGTTGGATTCATGAGAAACCCAATAAATAAATAATTTTACCAAACAAAAGAAGCTGAGAAGTACATATGAAAAATATACTACATTATAAGTTAAATGGAAGAGTGAAATACTCTTTACATACATTATATGTTTAAATGAAAAACTAAGGCCCTATTTGATCTAATTTTCATTTTCCATTTGTGTAGTTTATGTTTTATAAAGCTTCATGTTATATGTTGTATAGTACAGAATACATACTCATCTCATTCTAATACTTCCGGTTTTTATAAAATGTCAACACAAAAATTAAAAGCACTTCTCCATGTTTCCAAAACTGGTTTTAGTTTTCAATGATGTTGATTATACTAGTAATCTCATTAAGGCAGACTTGCCATAAGGTATGACAAATCTGGTCTCAGTCCACATTATACAGATACATAATTAAATACAAACTCACATACTATGTAGTATTTACAAGTAAATAAATTCTCACCGGATTGTTGGCAGCAAGCCCCCCGTCGACAAGATTAAAGCTATTCACGCCTCCGGTGGCATTTTTAGTCTCAAAATAGTAAGGCGGGAAAAAGGTCGGCGCAGCAGAGGTACTGAGACAGATATCTGAGAGTAGAGCATTCTTAGCGGGATTTGTTTTAGCCTGCACATTACTTTTTCAATTAATAAACGTAACATATAGTATTTCAGTACATAAAATCAGTTGAGTTCCAGACATTTTGTATATGTAAAAGTGAAACTATATAGTATACATACATCAGAAGTTGTGAAAATGATGGGCTGAAGGCGCTTGATATCAAATGTTGGAATTATGGTATAAGTCAATGTTTGGCTCATCGTTGTATTTCCCAACAATTCTTTCACCATAGATCTCAGATACTTCCCATTGTACTTTGGCCCAGCCACTAAGTTCAAATTGTTACGGCTTCATAACAACAATGACATTCACCATCAGTGAATCAAATATTCAAGAACTGTCCAAGAATTTATAAAACAAAACCTATCTATGACTTCAACTAAGTTGTAGCATAAATGTTTCTGTGATCGATTTGTGTCACCCAATGCACTCAACCTCCTTCTATTACAGCTATGTATGGACAAATGTATTATGGAAGTACTAGTGTTAAGATCAACTACTAGTAGTTAACAACTAGTTTTCGTGAAGAGTGTTAAAATCATACCATAATATTGTCCGTTTTGATACCTCAACTATACAATCACACAAATTACGATGTTTTTACTTGGATTGAAATTTTTAATCGGTTAATTACCTGGTAACGGGGAATATTTTAGGGCCATTCTCCTTGTAAAAGGTGGTAATGTTCTTGGCATCAAACAGGGGGCGACTTTGGTTGTTGGGAGAAGTAAGCATGGTTGTGACCAATCCACCCGTGCTTGTTCCAGCCACCACATCAAAATAGTCTGCTATTCTTGCGTTTGGCCCGTCCAATTCCTGGAGCTTGGATTCCAGAAACGCCAGAATAGTCCCTGGAATTATCCCTCTTATTCCTCCCCCATCCACACTTAGAACTGTGACCATATTGGCTTTTGTTGCCGCCATAGCCATGGGAGGTCTTCCCATTATGAACAGATAAGTGATCATGAGCAAGGCTGGAAGGAACCCCAACATTGTATTCTTCCTCCCCATAATCACAAAATACATAAAAATCGTGTCTTGAAATATATATAAATATGCTGATCAAGAAAATTAAAGAAATTGAGCTTTGGTAATGGGATTGTCTGATCTGTAGGAAGAAAACAGAGGGTCAGTTTGTATTATATACAGAGATTGAGTTGCTTAAGCGGGTCCAAGTCAACCCCTTTATAACTCTGGGATTGGGTTGTTGAAGACATTTACCGGCCTGGGCATAGTTCACATCACATTTTCACACCTTTCTGTTCTGAATTGATCGATCTTTATTCTGTATATATTATGTGAAGATTGATTTTTTTTAAAGGTTCAATAATGGCGTGCAGTTGGGGACTAATAAAGGATATACATTACGTAGGGCAGAATGAGATGCGAGGAAGATAAGGGTCCCTCGCTATTCCCTGTCACCGCCGCCGACCGGAAACACGCGGCAATGCGAGATCACGGATGATCACGTTGAAGCGGAAGTTGATGGCAACCGTTTGCATAATTAATTAATTTATTAATTAATATAATCAAGTAAATGAAAAAAGAGTGTCCAAAATCGGGGTTTGAGAAATGAAAGGTGTACAGTTTCAGCGAACATCCTCCAACGTTTCCATTGAATGCTTCACGTCAATCATTTATGCCTATTAATTTGCAAGCGCCAGAGTTTTGGTGAAGGTTAATGATTACTCCCTCCCTCCCAAAAAATATTTCATGGTTTCAATTTATTAAGAAAATGAAATAAAGTGGAAATGTATGATTGTAGTTACGTAAAAAAAAAGATAAAATGAATGTAACACACAAATTGTCTTAAAAGAGAAAATGAGAAGTATTTTATGGGAGGGAGGGAGTATTTGTTTCGAATGGTATCCCACAGGCTTTAATCCCTCGACGAATTTAAATTACCACTTTCTATTTAATTTCTAAATCCTCGGATTAATTTTGAAGTATAAAAAATAATTATATCAATATGTGTATAATATAGTTATTTAGGATGCTTTTTTTATTATTAATTGTTTGAAATTTTCAGGTTTGATCTTGTCTGAATTGATCTAATCTTATCTATATAAATCTCGTCTAAAATATTAGCGAAATAAAATTGTATGATAAAATACGACATGTTATATGATTGATATTAGTGAAATTAGAAACAATATGAAAAATAAGGATGTTTTTATTTGGACTAAAATTTGATGGTTTGGTTTGTTTAAATCTGGTCTAGTCTGAATTGATCTATCCTGGTAAATGTTTGATCTCTGTGTATTTTATAATTATGGAAATTTGATATGATCTATTTAAGTATGATTTGACATGATATGGTTTATGATAGAGTATTAATTCTTAGAGAGAAGTGAGAGCTAGAGAGAAATTCAATAAATGTATTAGCAACCCCTTGCAATTACCCTCAGTTGGGATAGTTATAGGGAAAATATGGGTTGAGCTCCCAAGTTTCGGTTTAGGAGACTCATTTACAATATGAGGCCTCTTATAGACTGGATACAATATCTTGACTAAGCATAGAACCTGTCTTTGCGAAGTCCCTTTGGGCGACGGGGTGCCGGGCCGACAGAGGACCATGTCTCGCGCTTGGGCTTCTGGACCATATTCTGGAATGAAGTGAATTTGGCCGATGGAGGACCATCTCGCTGACGGAGGACCCTCTAGGTTACAACTGTGCTTCCTCTTAGTCTCTTGAGTATGTGGTTCTTAGGGTCTGGACTCATATACTCTATCAGGAGTCCCTCACTCTCTGAGCTGAGATGCAGACGAAGTGAAAGAGAGTAGATTAATATTGCTCTGATATTTCTGGCCGACGGAAGACCATCTGGATGTTTCGGCGTTCCTGACCGAGGCGGTATTACTTGGTGGCCGATGCTTGTTTCGGCGTTCCCTGTTTCTATGGACGATGAATGTCCCTTACATTGAGGATGATGTGCGTCCTCAGTTTTGAGGGCGACACATGACTGCGGGTGTCGTTGCCTTTTAATCTTAGCCGAAGGTGTATCGCATGTATGAGGACGTTACGATACCATCGACATTGGACGTTGGATGTCCATGTTCCAAGGACGATACGTGCCACGTACTAAGGGCGGTGTGTCAATCCTTATTTTCCTGTTTTGTCTACTTTGTTGTAGCCGAGGGTGAACCATATGCTTCGTGACGTTGTGGTGTTGATATTTTTTGTTTTTTAAGGTGGCTCGCAAGTGTGCAGACGATGTGATGCCATGCGATGTGATGTCATGTAAACAATCTTAATTTTAGTCATAAATATGTAATTATTTCTATTTAAAAGAGTAATATTAACAAAACTTTCAAAAAATAAAGCACATTCTTATTTCTATTCATCTTCTTCACCCTTTCGCGCCTAAATGGTGTAAAAATAAGAGTTAGTTTTCAATATAGGACTAAAAGCCTTGCCATTTTCACAAATAGGACCTAAAAAGAAAATTGTCTTTCGTAGGACTTAAAAATAGGTAAGTTTCCGATTTTATCCTCCAAATTAAAAGTTAGGCATGCATGATGGATTCGAAGCGTGAAGCAACGTATCAGGAGTTGAGAGCCGAAATATAGCAACGGTTAGAGCATTTACTATAGAATCATATTTTTCGGCGCAAAATCGAGCGAATCCAAAAACAAATCTTCCGAAAATACTCCCGCCTGGATGTGTTCGAAGGATTCGAGTTTCCATTTTCCTGGCGCAAAAATGACGAAGAACGAAGGAGAAGTGGAGTTGAGATGGAAGAAGATAATTTTCAAAACCAGAGCACGAGAAGATTGAGCGGTCGGCTGAATCCAAACCTGGTACGTTTTTTGAGATATGCATGTCACTGAATGTAATCGAAAATCACAAATGGGTGTAAAATCCCTAATGCGAGTATTTTACAGAAAACAATGGCATTATTCACAGTTGTTGTTTGAATGTAATTGTTGTTTGATTTGTGGCATTATTTGCAATTGTTGTTTGATTTATGGCATAAACAAGTAAAAAGTTGTATTACATTTTGGAAGAATGAGTAATTGTTTATGATGATGTAAATAGTAATTACGAAAATGGCAAAATAGTGGATGAATTGAGAAACATGTAGAACATGAATGATTTGTTGGTGTGAGTATTTATGACAATGGAAATATTTTGAATGAAAAAACTAAATTGGAATGAATGTAGTTAAGTTGGCAGTTTCTATTTGATTCAAGTCACAAACAAGTGAAAGTTTAATCAAATTTTAAAATAAATTAACTCTAAAATTGTGTATGTTGGGGTAAATAGTGATTAAGGAACTAGTATTTCACATGTGCGTTGCACAGGATGTAATACGCAAATATTATAGATGTGTTCAAAATTATAATATTATTTATCACACAAATGAGAGAAATTATAAATAAATATTATTAGAATTTTAATAAACACTATTAATTATTGAAGACTTTTTTGCTTTTTTTTCTTTTTTTAAAAAATGATTTTATTCATAAAAATAAAAGGTACGGTGCAAGAAGAGAAATAAAATGAAAAATACAGAGTAAAAGAGAATATAAAAAACTAAAATTAGACCCAAGGGAAATCTCTGTACTGTGATCTAGTCTGCATAATGTGTCGCCTTTTGTTTTGCTGAGATTTCCTGTAAAGCTTAAGTTGTGTGTTCAGGTTGTCTTGGCAGACAATTTTCGGAGGTGACGAACTTTGCTTTGCGGCAAATCGTTCTGTTGAATTTGGAATTGCCAATATCTTCCTGGTTTGATAAAGGAGGACGTCGATCGCTTTCAGTTGCATGTCCCAAAAAATCATTTGAAAAGAAAGATTCATCGGAATAATCAAAGCTGAGGCATCGGAGTAAGCCTGAAGAAGTGGAATTTGTTGTTTCTCAAGGGGGGTGCATTGTTGCTTCTCGCCAAAGGCTCGCCGAAGACTCCATAGTGAACAATGTCTTTTTATAAATTATACTCCCTTCGTCCTCTATAATTGTCCCATTTTTTCATTTTTGGATGTCCCCTTTATTATTGTCTCATACCATATTTGGTAACATTTGTGTAGCTTTAATTCATTCTTATTTTATTCCCACTTTATCAACTCATTATCAATCACATAATTCTACTTTTCTTAAAAATCACACTACTTCCTTCTGTCCCAATATTAGTGGGATGGAGCCCGGAGGTAGTGACTTTTTTGGATTTCCTCAGTGGTCGTGTATCATGAACTTTAAGCCATATATTTTTTTTTTGGATTTCAAAATTGCGACGTACAACAATTTATGCGTAAAAAGGAATGTCACCATAAAACACCCATGATTTCCAACAATTTCCCTTTACGATCATTAACATCACAAAGCTTTCTATTAAAGGTAATTGTCTACCGAAACATGAAAGGCCTGAAAACTCACATCTCTTAGAGAAAGACTAAACCCAAGTATAAGGAACTTCTCACTACCATTTGTTTCAGACATCATTCAAAATTTAAAAGTATGTGCTCAAAGTTCTCTAATGAAGAAAGCTAAGATAGATATTAAATGAAACCCTATATACCAAAGGGAAGCTTAAAACTGAAGACTTTAGTGAGGAGCAATTTATCACCCACCAATGAAAAATGCCATTCCCTAAAGCATATTAGTAGGTCCATGTACCAGGATGCTTTTGTGCAGTCCTCAACTGGAATTTTGATCAAAATATTGACAATTCCTGGACATCCTTACTCTAGGTGCAGCACAAATTTGCTAAGATATGCAAATAACAGAATCTCCTATCAGCAACTCAACATCAAATATTTGACCAGCCAAACCACCCTTTTATCAGCTGCAATAACCCAGGTAAAAACACAACTCAATCTCCCAAAATTAAAGTACCATAAATATAAACTCCGACAAATATCTCCAAAACAAAATACAAACAGCACCCATGAGTGCAAAATGCAGCTACATGCCAACAATATGTTGTTTTCTGATTCAATTTCCTCAAATCATTTTGAGATTTTATAAACTAAATATGTCACTCACAACCCTAATAACATGCCACACTTATTCATACTTGTGCACATAGGTCCATTAATACACAGCCTATAAATGAACTAACAACTAAAACTCAAATATGGTAAAAGAGCTTTTGAAATGAGATTAAACTAAATCCTACCCTTAACTTCCATATAAAATAGTTAAACGGGTCTCAAAACTGCGTAGTGTGTATGCCCTAAAAGTGGGCAAGTGACTAACTTCATTTGCATCTTCATCATCTGCCAAGACAATTTCCAAAAACCAATGAAAAAAGCCAAAGACCAAAGTGTTT